TTCACAACTAGACTGAAGAACAAAAGGACAGCAACTTGTCTGTTCCCCTCCCCCCAATTCCCCAGCGTTGTTCCCATCCCCTAATTCCCCAATAAAAATCTTAAAAAAAAAAAAAGCCAAAGTAAGTTTAATGTAAAATGAATTTTTACATGTCTCACGGGAGCAATTTAGAATGCAAGTGCAGCCAAAATATGTATCCAAAAGGAGATCCGTTACCCCAAAAATTAGAATTGCAAGTTCAGATGATTTTTGTCAAGTCAGTCCTGGTGTGCTGAAATTGGAAGTTCTATCCCAGTGATCTAGGATTGGCTCATCATTATATAGTCTGAGAGAGGCACTGATGGAATGAAGTGTCCAGAAGGAAGAATAATCAATGGAAACTTAGCCAAAAGTCCTCAGTTGCACGCAAGTTTCCTCAGTAGTAGCCAGAGGACCGATATCTCCCATAGCAACATGGGCGGTAGCAGTTATATCCGTAACCACCATAGCCAGCACCATAGTCACAGCCCAGACTGCCAAGGCCACAGCCACAGCCCAGACCGCCAAGGCTATAGTCCACACCTCCGTAATAGTTGCCGTTTAACAGCTCATGGTGTCAAGAGTTGAGGATTCAGGGGAGAACAAAGTGTTTGCTTGCAGAATATGAACTTCTCTGCTTCCATGGGGCCTTTTATACACGCTCTGTAGTGGGTGTGAAAAACAACAAGCAATCTTGCCTTGTGTTTTATCAACTAATTTGTATGAAAACTTTGTCAGTAACATCATGTTTATTTAGAGGAGAGGCCCTCACACCCATTAATTTTGGAATTCCTTTGTGGCTGCCTCTAAATTCTTTAAGGTATCTCATATACCTTTAATAAAACAAAATTTACTGCCATACTTGAACTCTGTGACAAAGCTTCATGAGTTTGCATAGCTTGAGTCATGCCTATTATTGAAACTTGCTTTGAAATAATAACATCATCCCTCTGCAGACTTAAAGCACAGATACAGAAACCCCAGGTTTCAATAAGCAGAATTTACAGGTCCTTTCATGTTATCCCAATATTGTCCTGATTGTAGTTTTGGGAAAGACTCCAAATAAATATTGCTTTTTGTTTTGATTTAGTTTTTTATTTTTTTTTATTTTTTAGTTTCAGGTGTACAAAACAATGTAATAGTTCGACATTTTACCCCTCACAAAGTGATAGCTCCCCTCCCCAATCTATTACCACTCTGACATAATATGTATCTATTACAATTCCATTGACTCTATTCCCTATGCTGTGACTATATATATATTAAATTATAGTTGACATTCAATATTATTCTGCTTTAGGTGTACAGTGCAGTAATGGTCAGGCATCTACACAGTCCATGAAGTGGTTTCCCTAATAAGAAAACTGCCCATCTCACACCTTACAAAATCTTTACAACATTATTGATTATATTCCCCAAACAGTCTTGCATATTCCTGTGGCAATATTGTGAATATCAATTTGTGCTGTCTAATCCCCTCACCTTCTCCCTCATCCCCACCTCCCTCCCAACTAGCAACCATCAGTTTTTCCTCTATATCTCTGAGACTATTTCTCTTTACTTTGCTCATTTATTCAGTTCTTCAGATTCCACATATAAGTGAGATCATATGGTATTTGTCTTTCTCTGTCTGACTTATTTCACTTAACATAATGTTCTCTAAGTCCATCCATATCAATGCAAATGCAAAGATTTCATTCTTCTTTATAGCTGAGTAATACTCCATTGCATAAATGTACCACAATTTCTTAATCCAGTCGTCTACTGATGGGCATTTCAGTTGTTTCCAAGTCTTGACTATTGTGAATAGTGCTGCAATAAACATAGGGGTGCATATATTTTTTTGAATTAGTGTTTTGGAGTTCTCTGGATAGATACCTAAGAGTGGAATTGCTGGGTCATAGGGTAGTTCCATTTCCAGATTTTTGAGATACCTTCATACTGATTTCCATAGTGGCTACACCAATCTGCAACCCCAAAATAGTACACGAGAGTTCCCTTTTCTCCACATCCTCACCAGCACTTGTTTGTTGATTTATTGATGATAGCCATTCTAACCGGAGTGAGGTGGTATCTCATTATGGTTTTCATTTGCATTTCTCTAATGATTAGTGAGGTTGAGCATTTTTTCATATGTCTGTTGGCTATCTGTATGTCCTCTTTAGAGAAATGTCTCTTCATGTCCTCTGCCCATTTTTTAATTGGATTGCTTGTTTTTTTGGTGTTGAGTTGAATGAGTATTTTATAAATTTTGGGTAATAACCCCTTATCAGATGTATCATTGACAAATATCTTTCCCATTCAGTAGGATGCCTTTTTGTTGTATTGATGGTTTCCTTTGCTGTGAAATAACTTTTTAGTTTGATGTAATCCCATATGTTTATTTTTTCTTTTAGTTCCCTTGCCCAAGGGGATATATCAGTAAAAATATTACTCAGGGTAATGTCTGTGAATTTACTTCCTATATTTTCTTCTAGGAGTTTTATGATTTCGGGTCTTACATTTAAGTCTTTAATCCATTTTGAATTTGTTCTCATATATGGTGTAAGTAGGTGGTCCAGCTTCATTGTTTTGCATGTGTCAGTCCAGTTTTCCCAACACCATTTATTGAATAGACTGTCTTTACCTCCATGTAAATTCTTGCTTCCATTGTCATAGATTAAATGATCATATAGGGATGGATTTATTTCTGGGCGCTCTATTCTGTTCCATTGATTTATGTGTCTGTTTCTATGCCAGTACCATGCTGTTTTGATTACTATAGCCTTGTAGTATTATTTGATTTCAGGTAGCGTAACACCTCCCACTTTGTTCTTATTTCTCAAGATTGCCATGGCTATTTGGGGTGTTTTATGGTTCCATATAAATTTTAGGATTATATGTTCTATTTATGTGAAAAATGTCATTGGTAGTTTGATAGGAATTGCATTGAATATATATATTTGCCTTAGGTAGCATTGATATTTTAACTATAATTCTTCCTATCCATGAGCATGGTATGTGTTTCCAGTTATTTGTATCTTCTTTGATTTCTCTCTTCAGTGTCTTACGAGTACAGGTCTTTTACTACTTTGGTTAAATTTATTCCTAAGTATTTTATTGTTTTTGAAGCAATTGTAAATGGGATTGTTTTCTTGATTTCTCCTTCTGATAGTTTATTATCGGTATATTCAAATGCAACTGATTTCTGGATATTAACTTAGTATTCTGCTACTTGACTAAATTCATTTATCAGTTCTAATAGTTTTTTGGTGGAGTCTTTGGGATTTTCCATATATAGTATGTCATCTGCATATAATGACAATTTTACTTCCTCCTTCCTAATTTGGATGCCTTTTATTTCTTTTTCTTGTCTGATTACCGTGGCTAGAACTTCCAGAACTCTGTTGAATAAAAGTGGTGAAAGTGGGCAACCTTGTCTTGTTCCTGATCTTAAGGAAAACGGTTTTAGCTTTTTCCCTTGAGTATGATGTTAACTGTGGGTTTATCATATATGGCCTTTATTATGTTGAGAGCTAAACTTTTTTGATACCAGAGGGATTATTCATTATGAATTTGTACCAATTGAACAAACAGTTAACCAATTTTACTATTTGGAAGTACTGAAAAGGCTGTGTGAAAAAGTTAGACAACCTGAACTTTTTGCCAACATTTCTGGCTTTTGCATCATGACAATGCACCAGCTCACACAGCACTGTCTGTGAGGGAGTTTTTAGCCGGTAAATAAATAACTATATTGGAATACCCTCCCTACTCACCTGATCTAGCTCCAATGACTTCTTTATCTGAAGATAAAGGAAATATTGAATGGAAGACATTTTGATGACATTCAGGACATCAAGGGTAATACGACAACAGCTCTGATGGCCATTCCAGAAAAAGTTCCAAAATTGCTTTGAAGGGTGGACTAGGTGCTGGCATTGGTGCATAACTTCCCAAGGGGAGTACTTCGAAGGTGACTGTATATAGTGATATTCAGTAATGAGATATGTAGCACTTTTTCTAGGATGAGTTTGCGAACTTAATTGTCCAACCTCGTATGATACGGAATCTTTCTTTCTATTACATTTTCTATTCAGTGATGGCTGGTGGCTAGACCACTGAGTATAGGCTGATCTTATGTCATATTGGTCAGAGTGATTTGTAGAAGGTCAACCTGATGTCACTCTCTGTTCAGAGCTCTGCCTGGCTCCACTCCAGGCTGGTTGATTCCTCACTTTGCCTCAGTGGACTGGCCTTTGTCACCTCTGGGCTTTGTGCAGGCAGCTCATCTCCTCCCCTGGCAGACCCCCTCCATTATCCCTGGGTCAGGTCCATCCTATGGTTGCCTCCCCCACCCCTGCCCTTCTATCCAGTGAGAGCTGCCCCTCCAGCCTCTATGCCAGGACTCACTAGTGTCTGCCTCCACCCAGATGGGAAAGCAAGGCCCTGAGAAGGAGTTGTGTGGGGCCAGCCCTGGATCCCACAACACTGGGGTGTCAGGACAGCAGGTTGGTGCCCTGTCCCACCCCATCCTCTCACTTGGAGGCAGGGCAATGAGAGGAGGACCCATTGGGTCAGACAAGCTACTCTTGGCCATGTCCTGGTAGTTAGTGATCCAGATTGCTTGGCAACCCAGACAACAGAAGTGGCTAGGTCACAGTTGTCAACCAACTGTGTAACTTACCAGGGTGGGTCTTCCCTCAAAGAGGGTGGTGAGTGCTTTAGCTTGGCCCCAGACAGCTCCAGGTAAAGCTGTGACCCCCACCCCTAGGTCCTGACTTAGCCCTTACACATTTTTCTAAAAAACCCCTTCCTGGCCCAGACCCCATCCCACCAGTTCTTCTAAAACCTCACTCCTCCCCACCCAGACCAATCTCCCATTGCCTGCTTCTGGCACTCAGCAGAAGAACGCTCCACACTCTTGCCCCATGCCACCTTGTGGGCTGTCACCTGTTTTGTCAGCCCTGCTCCATCTAGTCACAGATTCAGGAACAGAACCATGAAAAACTCCAAATCCCAGGTTTTTATTACCCGTCAGAAGGTGCTCACCACAAACAGTGTTGAGAAGAGGTACATTGCACAGCTCTGCTGCAGGCCCGGTGGGGCCACCTGCCCGCCCTGACCCCATTGAGTGGGCACCCTAAGGCATTTCATACGTTGGTATTTTCACTTTTTTTCTTATAAAAACAAAACCAGTCCTGGAGTAGAAAGAAAAACCCTGTGATGAATATTTAGGACCAAACTGAAGTGGGAGGGGTTGGAGTAAGGGTTTTAAGGGTCTGGGACAGTGGCCACAGTGGCCCAGTCCCCCCACTGTTGGAGCCATTAGAAGGGGGTCTGAGAAGGGGGCAGGGCACAGCTGACAGGAGGGCCAAACTCAGACAGGCACGCCCTGTCTTCATCATTTTTTCACTTCCACATACCATAGAAATTTAAGCAAAATAGCTATTTTATATATATTTATATAGTATACATATAAATCAGGCAAATAAAGAGTTCAGGGGGTGCTGAGATGGAGTACACCGGAGGTGCCTGAAGTAACCTTGCCACACTGGGTCTCTGGTGCCCAGGGCACCAGCCCAGGCTGAGCCGAGGGTTTGTTCTTATTGCTGATTTGGGGCCTGGTTCTGGGCGGGAAGCACCTGCAGGCCCTGCCCCCAGCTCTTCCTGGCCTCGTTGGATCTGGGGAGTAGCCCCTGCAGGGCCAAGGCTATGCAAGGGACTGTGGCCCTCCAATCTACGTTGGGGGCCCCTCAGTGCCCCTCCCCACCGTGGCTGTAACTCCAGGGACTTGTGCTCTCTTCGGCCCAGTGGCCCCTCCCAGTCCCTTCTCTGTGGGGTCCTGGGCTCCTGGGGGGCGGCCTTCCTATGTTGAGCTACAAAATTCTCTGGTCTCAAAGGGTCTGTCTGGCTTCCTGATATCTTAAAAAGAAGGGGCTCTTGCCAGGGCACTTTTCTGGCAAAAAGCACACTTAGAAAGTTGTCTGCTAAGTGCTGTACTAAAAATATTTACTAAACATCTTGGCTGGAAAGAAATGGAGATCATTTTTCTATAAAAGTCAAAAGTGGCTCCCTAGGAGGGGCCAGTTCCTCCTTAGATGGGGCTGGTGAGGGGGGCAGTCGGGGGGGGGGCAGCCTGCCTGAGTTGTGGTAACTGTGAACTGGGGTCCAGATGGGGCCCAAGTCCGGTTATGAAGGGGCGTGGGTGACCCGGGGCACCTGGGGGCTGGAGAGAACCCGGGTCAGCACTTCCTCCTTCCAAGGTGGGAGCCCCAAAAAGTGTCATTTTTAAAAAAAAGAGGAAAGGAAAAAGGTGGGGTAGGATGGCCATGAAGTACTAAATTGAGTGCATTCAGTAAAAGGTGGCCCAGGCTGTGCAGGTGTCTGTATTTGCAGGAGGGATATGGCGCTCAGAAGATGTTGGGGCACATGTGCCACTCCTGCTTCTCCTTGGCCTCCCAGTAGCCGCCCTTGTACACGCAGGCCATCTCCCCGGTCAGCGGGTCCAGTCTCTTCTCGAACCACAGCGGCATGTATGTGTCGGCCTCCTTCTCTGCTGGGTGGGCACGACGGGCAGGTGGACGGGCTGCTTCCTTCCCTGCCCATGGGAACCCACTCCCAGGCTCCCTAGGCACCCCTTCCCTCCCCGCATCCCGGGGCAACCCCTCCTCCCTGCCCTGCCTCACCGTCCTCAGAACCGCAGCCCCGTGAGCAGGCCTCCAGCCGCCGGCGCCGCGATACACGCTGCTTCTCCTCCAGCCGCTGCTTCTCAGTGTTGGCCTCGTCCCAGTGACCCTTCTCCATCAGCCGCTGGTCGGGCCGCAGGCGGCTGTCGGTGGGCGCCACGCCCTCCTCGTGCTCATTGAGAGTCAGGGCCAACTCCGAGAAATAGTACATGTTCTCCGCGTTCTCCCTGCGGGGGTCATGGGGTGAGCCATCACCACCCCCCCCCATGCCTGCCCGCCCTGGGCTCCCAGGACGCCCTCTGTGTGGGCCCGACCTCCCCTCGTCTAGTGTCCACCCCAGGACGAGCCCACAAAATCCAGCTGGTCCATCCAACTGCTCTTTCCTGCCCGCACTTTGAACCTCGTGTGCTTGCCCCACTCATCTGCGTCTGTTTTGCTACATTATACTTCTCTGGGAATTTGCCCATGTAGTCCACTTTTTCAAATTTATCAGTGTAAAGTTGTTTCATAATGTCCTCATTATTATTGCTGTAATGTTCGTGAGATAGCAACTTCACTGTTTGCATCTGTGATGTTGGTTATATGTGCCTTCTCTATTCCCAACTGTCAGGTCAGAGGTTTGTCCATTTTCTTCATTGGTGGAAAATGAAATTTTGTTGATCCTGTTTTAGGTTTTTCTGCTTTATTGATTTTGCTTTTATGGTTTTCCTTCGACTGTGCTGGAGTTTCTTTTGCTGTTCTTTTTCTAACTTCTTGAGATGGATGTTTAGATAATTATTTTTCAGCTTTTCTTCTTGTCTGATATGTGCATTTTAAGGCTACCTCTCACTCCAAACACTGCGTTAGCTGAATCCCACCGTTTTTGATATGTATTACTTTCATTTTCATGCAGTTATATTTTCTAATTTTCATTATGTCTTCTTTGACCTATGGATTAGTTGGAAGTAAATTTCTTAAATTTATAAACATATAGGGATTTATCTAATCATCTTTGTTTCTAGCGTAATTGCTTTGGAGTCAGACATGATATAATTTCAGTTCTTTGAAATTTGTTTTATGACCCAATACATGGTCAATTTTTGCTAATGCTCCATGGATAATTGAAAAAAAAATGGGTTTTCTATAGTTCTTCAGTGCAGCGTTACACAACTTTGGTGGGTTCTACTATTCAAACTTATCCTGCTGACTTAAAATATATATATATATATTTTTTGTTTCTTCTACCCATTGCTAAGAGAGATATGTTAAAATTTTCCACTTTGGTTGTAAATTAGTCCATTTTTCCTTATTATATTGTACCAACTTTTGCTGTGTCTATTTTGAAGCTATGTTTTTAGGCAACAGGGTACATTCAAATTTAAAACTCATCTTCCTGGTGAATTGAACCTTTATCATTAGGTCCCTTTTATCTCTAGTCTTACTTTCTGTTTTAAAGTCTGTTTTGTGCTATGAATATGGCTACTGCAGCTTTTGTTTGCTATTTCTATGGACATATCTTTTCCCATCCTTTTATTCCAATCTTTCTTTGTTTTCTTAAGACATATTTCTTGTAAACCATATAAAGTTGGCTTTTTAAAACTTGTCTGAAATCTTATGCCTATAATGGGAGCACTTAATGTAATTACTGAGATATTGGGTTTAAATCTTTTTTTTTTCCTTTTGGTTCTTTTTTTGGACCTCAGATGCATAGTCATGGATTAATCATAGTCCTTGGTACATGACACCCTTTCTTTATTGGTCCTCACATGGCCTGCTTGTATTAATGCAACCTTGCCACCTTAAACAAAATAATCCTGACAAAACTTACATCTAACTTACATATAGAAAAGTCACCAATCCATCCCCTTCTCAGGTAGCCATCAGCAAGATTCTGGGTTCATCAGTCCCTTGCTTTCCTTTTAATATAATTTTATTGCATCTTTAAATAGTCATAAGTGTGCATGTGTGTGTATTCATATACATATATTTTACATACTCATTTTTAATTGTATAAAAAGAATATCATGATGTATTTATATGCTTTTTTTATATTGCTTTTATATTTAATTTCATATTGCTTAAATTTATATTGTTGTATGTTGTTGTGGTTCATTTGTTTCAACTACTGTATAATATTCTCTCCTGTGAATATACCAGTTATTCATCCAGTAAATTTGGGTTGTTTCTAAGATTTTGCTGTGGAGTAATCTTATGCATGTTTCCTGTTGTACATGTGTAGGAATGTCTCTTGAATACATACCTAGAAGTGGAGTTGCTGGGCTGTAGAGTTTGTGATGTTCTTTAGGGGGTAAGGCTGACCTACTTTTCCACTTGGCTGCGCCAATTCACACCCCCATCAGAGATGCATAAGAGATATCGTGGATCCACATCATCCTCAATTGTTAGAGTTTTTCATTTTTTGTTAGAGTTTTTCATTTTTTTGATATTGTTAGAGTTTTTCATTTTTTTGAATCCATGAAGGTAAATTGGAATCTCATTGTGATTTTGATTTGCATTTCCCTGGTTACCAATATGTTGATTATTTTCATATGATGACTGGCCATAGATGTTTCTTCTGTCAAATTCTGGTTCATGACTCTGCACTTTTGTGCTGGCTTATTTTTACTTTATTTATTGATTACATTTCTTTATGTATTCTTTTTTAATTATTATTTTTAATTGTGGTAAAATACTTTTTATGTATTTTGATGCTAATCATTTGTCAGGTGTAAGTATTGTGATTACCTTCTCCAAATTTATGTATTTTCTTTTAACTTTTTAAAATTGTCTTTTAATGAGAAAAATTTCTTTTAATGAACAAAAGTATTTTTTTTAATATAGTTGAATGCATCAATGCTTTTTTGTGTCTTGTTTAAGATGTATTATTTCCTGAAGGTCTAAAAGATATTAATCTACATTTTCTACTTAAGAGTTTAACTTATTTACTTGGAATTTTTGTTATAATGTAAAGGAGAGATTCAGTTAATCTTTTTCCATATGGATAAAAATTTTTCCCAGATCCTTTTAGTGAACAGTGCTGTTTTTCCACATGATCTGATATGCCACATTTGTTATATACCGAAGATACATATATTCATCCATGGGTCTGTTTCTCACTATTCTCTTTCACTATAGCTTCAAAATAAGTCCCGATATCTGATAGAGCAAGTCCTCTTTTCTCTGTGCTTCTTTAGAAATATCTTGGCCCTTTATTCTAAAGTATAAATTTTAAAATCATAATATCAAGTCCCACACAAATCACTATTGGGATTTTTATTTGCTCTACTGACTCTTTAGATTGTGACATCTTGACAATACTAAGTCTTCATATCCATGAACATGGTATCTTTTTCCATTTATTTAGCTCTTTGATATCTCAGTAAAGTTTTATAATTTTCTCTGTAGAGGTCTTGAATATATTATACAATTTATTACAAGGTCCCTGATGTTCTCTAATAGGATAATTGGTGTTTTCTCTTGAATTATATTTTCTAGTTGTTTTCTTTTAGTGTGTAGAAATGCAACTGACTTGCATATGAATCTTATATTGAGGCACCTAAGATGATTTTTCTGAGTCTCTAGAGATCTGTTATTGTGATTAATTAATTTATGGATTTCTAATATAAAATCATCTTTGCATACTCAGGATAAACTCAACATGATTGAAGAATGTTATCTTTTTTATACACTAGTGGATTTTTTGATATTTTGTTCTGTAACTTTATATATTTCTGAGTGAAATGGGGTAGAATTTTTATTTTCCTACTACTCTTTTAGTCTGTTTGGTTTCAGGGTTACCCTGGCCTCACAGTATAAGACAGGAGAATAGTTATTTTTCTGTGGTCTGTAAGATTTTACATAAAATTGGGATATTTCTTGAAAATTTGGCAGAATCCATCTAAAAAATTATCTGGGCTTTGTGTTTTCCTTGTGGGATTTTTTTTTTTTAAATTTTTATTGGGGAATTGGGGGATGGGAACAGCGCTGGGGAATTGGGGGAAGGGGAATAGACAAGTTGTTGTCCTTTTGTTCTTCAGTCTCGTTGTGGAGGACGTTGCTTCACTGGCCCAAGTTGGCACCATCATTGCGCTCTTTCCGGGTGAGGCAGATCAGTCGCCGGCTTCTGGACGGCCGCTCACTGTGGCTGCTGGCCGCTCACGCTAGCCCATAGCAACCCACTGCCACAGGGGCTGCAGCCCATGCCGTCGCTGGTGACTCACGGCAGCCCAGCTCCAGGTTGAGCTGTTGTTCAGCATCTTAGCTGTAGAGGGCAGTGTCACTGGCCCGCATATGTGGCATCCAAACTGGGGCCCTCTGGCCGTCCCAAGCCAGCTCTTAATCAACATGCCACTCGGCCGGCCCTCCTTGTGGGAATTTTTAAACTACTGCTTTGGTTTCTTAAATTATAGGACTATTTATGCTTTTTATTTCTTCTAGACTCAGTTTTCATAAGTTATATATATTTTCAGAATTTGTCCTTCCCATTTAGATTTTAATGATCTCTTTATACTTTATGTGTCATATGAAATTCTTTTCATTAATAATATTTATTTCTATATTTTCTCTTGATCAGTCTTGCCAGTAGTTTCTAAGTTTTTTCTCAAAGAATCAACTTTCATCTTTTGAAACTTCTTTAATTTTTCTATTTTATTAATCTCTGCTCATATTTTTAAAGTATATTTCATTCTTTCACTGGGTTTATATGTGAACTTTCTGTAATTTCTTAGAATGGAAACAAACAAAAAACCCTCAAAATTAATGAGCTTATATACCTATTTAAGGCAATGCATTTTCTTTGAAGCATTGCCTTTGTTATATCCAGCCAGTTTTGTTATCTTTTCATTCTCATTCAGGTCTAGGTATTTTAAATTTTCCATTCTAATTTATTATTTTACCCATGATTTATTTAGCAACTTAATATTTTCTCCCCCAAATATATGGGAACTTTTTTTGTCATTTTCTTTATAACTTCTAACTTGTCTTATAGATTGTGGTCTCTATGCTACCACCTATAAATTTGTTGAGTTTTTCTTTAGGGTTTAGTGTACAACTGATTGATTTTTGCATATATTCCATGTGTACTTGAGTAAAAAGTATGTTCTCTTTTGCAACCATAATTTTGTATATATCCCATGTTGTTTCAATCTCTTTCATATCCTTGCTGTTTGTTTCCCCCCCCCCCTCCCCATTTGACATATCAGCATGTGAGAGGGGTGTATTGAAATCTCTCAATCTCCCACTGTGGCAAGGGATTTATCACTTTCTTCCTTTACTACCAATATGTGCTTTGTATATTTTAGAGGCTGTTTCACTACGTGTATAATGTTTAAAACTATTATATCTTCTTGAAGAACTCAACCTTTTATCATCTAGCACCTCTTCCATCCCTAATAATGCTTTTGTCTTCAAGTCTATTTTACCTGATATTAATACAGCTATTATAGCTTTTTTGGTTAGTATTTTCATGATATGTTTATCTTGTACTTTCAACCTTTGCACATCTTAATGTTCTGGATATCTCTCAGGAGGTGAATGTATCTGGATTTTAAAAAACCCTATCAGTCAGTATTTTGCTTTTTAACTGGTGAGTTTCATCTATTTATAGTTATTATTCTTGGACCTATTTCTGTTGTGTTAGTTTACTGTTTTTATTTGTCCTACTCTTTCTTTTTCATCTCTTCTTACTATTAAAAAAAATCTTATATCTGTGTCTTCTAATATGAATTTAGTATCCTTCATATCCCTTGGTGTCCTTTATCTCCCCAAGCCCCATCCTGTTCACATTATCTACACTTAATTCTGGATTATTATGGGACTATTTCCTCTTTTTCCTGGGTATCTATTGCAGCACCTTCTGGATTTTTTCTCCCCTTTTTAAAATACTGTGTCCAATACCATTTTTATTTGGGTTTTTGTGTGGCAAACCTTCTGAGGCTGTTCCCTGAGGACATATTTTTATTATCCCCTCATATTTGAATGATAGCTTGGATAGATAGAAAATTTTACCTTCTAATTTCATTTTCTTCATTACTTTGGAAATATTACTCCAACATTGGCTGTTGAAAATCTGATGTCAATCCTTGACTGAAATCTTGTACTCCTCTAGAAGCTAATAGAATTTTCTCCTTGGTATTCTTTTTTTTTATAAGATTTTATTGGGAAATTGGGGGAGGGGAACAGTGTTGGGGAATTGGGGAAGGGGACCAGCCAAGTTGTTGTTCTTCAGTCTTTGTTGTGGAGGGCGCCAGTCTCCATCTGGCTTCCTGTCGGCAGCTCGTGGCCTCTAAGCTCAAGGTGCTGTGTTCAATCTTAGTTGTGGGTGGGTGTAGCCACCATCCCATGCAGGAGACGAACCGGCAGCGTTGTTAAGAGTGCACACTCTAACCACTGAGCCATCCAGGCGGCAGCTCAGCTCAAGGTGCTGAGTTCAGTCTTAGTTGTGGGTGGGCGTAGCCCACCATTGAACAGGCAATCTTGTTGTTACACCAGCTGAGCCATCCTGCCACCTGCTGGTAGCTCAGCCACAACTCAGCTTGGGCGCAGCATCACTGGCCCATGTGGGAATTGAACAGGCAGCCCTGTTGCTCAGAGCTTACGCTCTTAAGCCAACTCTTAACCAACTGAGCCACTCGGCCGGCCCTCCTTGGTATTCTTAATTTTCACTATAGTGTAGTCTAGGAAAAAATTTTTCTTTATCTCTTGTCTCTAGAACTCTACCGGCCTTTTCAACCAGAGTTCTTTCATAATTTTTTATTTTGGGAAATTCCTCTCCATTATTTCTTTAACTATTTCCCCTCTCCATTTTTATTTCTTTCCTTTCCTACAGGGATTCCAATTAAACATATTATTTTAGTGGTTACTCTAGGAATTACAATATGTATACTTCATACACTCAAAAGTTAATGCACATCTTGACCCCTCCTCGTTGGTAACGTGAAGGCCTTCGAGAAGTTTCCTCCCATTTATCCCGCTTCTGACTTAAGTGATCACAGAGTTGCATTTTATGCTTAGATTTAAAACCCTGCATTATGATTTGTGTTTATTCACTGTTCACTTAACGTCACATTAAGTTTCTGTTCTTCATACAGACATTTTAGATCTTCCATCTGGGACTGGTTTCCTTCTGTCGGTGATAGATCCTTTAGTGCAGGTCTGCTTGTGGCAAAATGCATTTTCGTCTGAAAATGTCTGTGTGAACTTCACTCTGTAAAGATGTTCTCGATAGGTGTGTAATTCTAGGCGGGCAATTAAGTCTCTCTGCACGTGGACGATTTCATCTGACTGTCTTCAAGTTCCCATTATTGCCAATGAAGTGACAGCTGTGTCTGCTGTTCCTTAGGAAGTAATGTCTTTTTAAAATCTGGCTGCTTAATGTTTTTTTGGTGTTTGTTTTTTTTTTAAAGATTTTTATTGGGGTATTGGGGAGAAGGGAACAGTGCTGGGGAATTGGGGGAAGGGGAATAGACAAGTTGCTGTTGTTTTTTTTGTTCTTCAGTCTAGTTGTGGAGGATGTTGCGTCACTGGCCCAAGTTGGCACTTCCCGGGCGAGGCAGATCAGTCGCCGGCTTCTGGACGGCCGCTCACTGCGGCTGCTGGCCGCTCACGCTGGCTGCTGGC